TTCTTCACCACTTTTGCTTATGCACCCATTTGTCTTCAGCAATCATATTGGGAAGGTGAGCACACAATGATATGATTTTTTGTTCTTTGCTGCCTGATACCTGATCCGTTTAGCAACTCATGATCACACAGGCTGGTGTGCTTCTTCCATGTGGGCTTTGTTGCTTTTGAGCTAGATGGCCGCTTATTTACCTAAATTATCACTTTTAAACTAACTTACTTACGTTTACCTCTTTCTAGACTTATAAACCTCTTGTATATTTTTACAATTAAAAAAATAGCATGTCTGAATTCCCACCCACTCCAAAATAGGGGGGATTGATAAATATTGAATGCATAAATACTGTGTACTGACCCCACCATCCAAACCACAATTTTGGAAGCCACCTTCTCTTCTACCTCCAAATGTCAATTGGTTATCAAATTCTGGTGAAATTGATTCCCTAGAGAGCTCTCAAATCTATCCTCCACACACCCCCTACTTCCTCTTCACCACAATGCCTCAAAGACCAGTTTAGGTGCCATTTTCGCTTACTTGAACTAGATTTGTTCCTCTCCAAACCATTCTCCACACTGTTGTTGGAATTCAAAAATTTTTATTACAAAAATACATACTTATAAAAGGAATTTTTAATATTTTAAACAACACAGAAATAAAAGTATAATACCTCCCCCCACCATATAATTTTTACCCTTATAATACCATTCCCCAGAGGTTATCATTGTGAACATATTAGTGCATATTCTTTCAGATTTTGGGTATATACAAGTATATATAAACACAAATATCCACATTATTCTTTTACAAAAATGAGATCAAATTACACGATTCTTCAGTCTCTTTCATCATTCAATATACAGAAAGTTACTAAAACATAAATCTCATTATAGCACTACTCTTAAGTTCATTTCCCATAATTCACAGTAAGTAGTAGCAAATGGTAAATGAAGCTTTTGAAGATAATTTTCTTCTCATCTTTCAGTCCTTTCTGTAGCCACTCTAGAACTCAAGGATTTAAATCACTTTAAATTCTTTCTGGAACAGGCAGGTAATAAACAAACAAACTAGGAATATACTCTGCCATTTCTAGACTTTGGCCTTTTCACTACTTGGACTGTTCCATCTGGCAAACCACTATATCAACATCTCTAGGAAGACTTCCTAACTTTTCTAGACATGATCAACCCTCTATTTTCCCCTATATATTTTGATCTACTTTATTGCATTTATCTCATAGTTTTGTAATGATTCATGAACATATTTTCAATTAAATCCCCCCTCTCCCATGGTAATGGTGAACTCTGGGTAAAAGAGATATGTCTTATTTACCGTTCCATCCTAAGGTTCTGATAGAGTGCTTATCATCAAGCAGATGCTCAATAACATTATCTGTTGTGGGATTTATGATTTTAGGAACATTTTCTGAGTACTTACTATGCACAAAACCATCTCCTAAGCATGAAAAGAAACAGAATACACTCTGTTTGCACTAAGGAAATTAACACTTCCTCTGGAAGTACAGGGATAAACACACTTACATGACAACATATCATTTCTGACATACAGGCTGTTTTAAGGGATTTATAATTACTGGTTTGAGTCCATTTAGAAACAAAGCATGGCATAATCAAATGAAAAAAAGAATGGGTATTTTATTTGATAGGTTTATGTTTTTAAATGTAGCAAGGTACAGAATCCAATTCTCTATTCCAGCAGAGGTACAGTTACCTGGTTCCACCTTGCAAATTAAAAAATTGAGATACCATGCTTGGAAATTTTTTTATACAACAAGGTCATAATTATTAGTCCTTTCATAATCTTTCTTCCTTCTCCAAAGAAAAAAAAATGTTACCAAGAACAACACATTGGATTTAAAAGGCACTGGAGAGGAAAGAGCACTCTCTTGTTCCTATGAGTGCTGGAAGGGGGTTGCTTTGTTTTTAAATCAAAGTGTAACATTATACCAGGAAGAAGATCAGGAGAGGTGATTTATTATAATTTACTTATTTTTTTAAAAGGCTAGGTGTTAGTTAATCTGATGATCTCAGGACCAGACACTGTACAAATATAAACAAATTGGGGTAAAAGTGAACCACCTAAGCTGGAGAACCAGGATGGCTGACCAAGGAAGCCCAAAGGAAAACTCATTCATCAGAGTCCAAGTCACTGTCCCCAGCAATGGAGTGGAAATCCTCACTGTCTTCCTCATCCTCTGACAGATGGACCTGGCTGAGTACGCTTGGCCCAGAGCGCTGCTCTTCCTCCTCGTCTTCTTCCTCCTCTGATACCTCATACCCACCAATGCTGCTGAAGCTTGTATCTTGGGTGTTTGATTTGGGATCAGGTTCCTCATAGCTCCCATAACTGAGAAGAGAAACATGTCATCTCTCAAGTTCAGGCACCATCCTCTCTAGCTGACCAGTCCCATTCTATTATCAAGGGATAAGCCTATCTCATCTCTCCTGAACACTACAGTAACTGGTTCTGAACTGTTCTACAGATTCCAAAAAGAAAAATGATCCTGCTCAGAAATATCACCATGCCAATTTCATTCACAGACAAGAATGTGAATTAAAGAAACGTTTACATCTGAAAATTGCATACTGCCAACTTACATGACTGTAAATGGTGATAGCCTCCTTCATTTACATATTCAGTTAACCAACAGTCAAGAATAATTTACCTTATCAATGTGTATTGTATCTTTCCTCTCCTTTCCATTCCTACACTGTTTGCCTTTATTAATTTAGCCCACTGTGATTTCTGGCCTACACTACTGAAACAATCTTCATGCCTCCAGTCTTACTCTCCTCCAATTTATTCATATTCACGCTTCATATTTCTGCTAAAGTTTTCTTTATTTTGTTTGCTTATTCTTAATTTTACTTTAAAAATTGATAATCCCACTACCAGAGATTGTTTTAAGATATGATCTTTCAATTTTTTATATGCCGAAAGTTTTTTAATTTACCCAGTTGGGATACTCTACACTCTTTAGGAAAACTATCCCCCCCTCCCCCAACTAATGACAAATGAACACCTTTCTGTTTTGTTAAGTATACATCTATAATATTTTCATAGCTACACAGTATTGTACTTATGGCTGTTACATGATTTACTTAACAATCTCTCATTGGGGCATTTAAGGGGGTCTCCAATTTTTCCACTGTTACAAATAATGCTGATAACATTGTTGAACATCTTGATATTTTATTATTCCGTTGAATGATTTCTTACACATGTAATTTTGGGCCAAGAAGGAAGCATATAATTTTAAGGTTTCGATTTATAAGGATAAATTGCTATATTTCCCAGGAGTATCAATTCACATTACCTTTTTTTCCTTCACATCCTCTCCCAACACTGAAATTTCCCATTCATTTTAATCTATGCCAATCGGACAGGTAAAAATGTCATCTTTGCTTTCCTTACTGAATTTTTGTGACTATTAGAAAAATTATTTTTTAAAATATGGGTACCAGTCATTTGTATATTTTTTTGAATTGTTAGTTCATGTCTTCTGACTTCTTTGGGGGAAGAATAATCTTTCTAAAATGTACACCTGATCATACAACACTCATTCAATGCCAGTCCAAAACTTTCATGCCCTTCATTAGTTGCTACACCTACTGTACCTCTAAATCATCTTTACACTGATTTAAATTCTTACACTGATCAATCAAAAGTTCCAGCCATACTGAGGTACTTGTAATCTCTAAATTTGTTTCATGTCTGTCTTCACATGTGCCCATGTTCTCTGGAATGCCCTTTATTTTCTTCATCCAGTTAAATTCTATTTGCATCCTTTTCTAAACAGGTCCCCTATCCCAACTCCTATGCAAGTTTCAGAAAAATCCTGTGGTTTCCTATCACAGGATTCACACCATATTATATTGTGGTTTTCTGTTTATCTGTTTAGGTTCCTTGCTACACTGAACTCCTTAAAGAAAGGGATCAGATTTTAGTTACTTTTGTACTGGTGATATTTGTAGAACAAATGAATGAATAAGGCTAGCTGCTTGATGTTTAGAGCCAAATTCATTTTTTCACTCCTTTCACCCCACTTAATAGCTATTCTTTTTAAAAAAATAGCTATTCTTCCTCCTTCCTATTGCAATGAAATCTCCATATTCATTTGACTTCCTTTCACCTATATTCAACTGGTTTACCTTCTAAATAGCTTTGGAAAACATCTCTTCATCTCCCCTTTGCTCACAACAGATTCTCATAGTCTGTCCCACATTGCCCTATTATTTAATACACACATTTAAGTTACTTCCTTTTCCTTAAAGAGACAATTCCCATTATCCATAAGGTAAAATCTAAGTATCTGAAAATGCCATTGAGGCTCTTCCCCAATATAATCCCTTGCTATTTCTGGAGTCTCAACTCCCACCCACCTCCTTTAACTTTGCAACATACTTTATGTGACCTTGTGTTCTTTTCTATCTCTCTGAATGTATTAATCCATCTATAAAGATCTCCCCATCTGCTGTTACCCTATCTACTCCTATTCCGCCTTTAGAGGAGCTCTGATGGCTTAGTGGTTACGCGTTGAACTGTTAACTTCAAGGCCAGCCATTTGAAACCACTAGCTGACTTTTTATTCTATAAAGTTACAATTTTGGGAACCCAAAGGGGCGTTTTTACCCTGTCTTAAGGAGTTGCTATAAGCTAGAATCGACTCCATGGCATCAAGTTTTTCATGATTTATTCAATTCTTAAGGCTCAGTTAAAAGTAAAACGTCCAGATATGAAAATAAAAATAATTTATCAAGGGTTCATGAGGGTGGGAGGGTGGGGGAGGGAGGGGAAAAAAGAAGAGCTGATACCAAAGGTTCAAGTAGAAAGAAAATGTTTCAAAAATAATGATGGCAACATATGTACAAATGTGCTTGATACAACTGATATATGGATAGTTCTAAGAGCCCCCAATAAAATGATTTATATATAAAAAACATCCCCTGATTACTCTTGAGATACTCCCATCCTCAATGTTGCCTTGGCATTTTGAATTTACTCATGTTATAGCACTTATCATATTGTATTTGTAATGATGTTTGTTTGTGTCAGTCTCTTCCACTAGACCGTAAGCTCCTCACAGGCAGGATAGGATGTCTTGCTTCTCTGTATTCCTAGGGTCTAGCAGTGTCCGGACCTAGTAGATATTCAGGAAATGTTTCATGGATGAAACTAACCTGATGCTGAGCCTTTTGACATCATAGCTGGGCACTAATACCACTGTCATGTAGCATGTTGCTGCAGGTTACCTGATGTTGCTATCTTCCAAACCACGGGAAGCCTCCCCACCGTCTCCCTCATAGGACATCATGCTTTCTTCATTTTCCACGCCCATCCGTGTGTTCTCCTGAAGCATGCGTGGCTGTTTGGGTCTAATCCCACTAGATCCCACATCAGAGTCACTTCCACTTTCACTCAGCTGGATAGCTGTAAAAATATGGAGAAGTTATAGAAAGTGATAGATCCTGGCTCATCCATAGATAAGGTTGACAGAATTAACATCTTTGGCTTGGTATTCCAAAACCAGTAACTTCCACACATCTACGACACTGACAAGATCTGTAGTTCAGAAATGGAATTCAAATAATCACTTCCTTTTAAAGAACCTCAATCGAATCTCTGCCCAGCACACCCAAACCAATTTTCTTCTCCCACACCTTTCCCTTGCTACTGCAGGGGAACATCTCAAATAGGAGTTTTTCCGCCCTTGGCTTTCCTTGTTGCCACACCTCATACTTCTTTCTCATCTTTTTTTTTTTAAAGATCCCCCCACCCCCTTCTTTCTCATCTTTAGCAAGAACTTAATTCAGAGTTGCTATTTCAGCACTTTTTTTAATTTTCACTTTCTCTGAGACTAAAGAGCATGATTATTCTATGATTGGGTACTTAGAATTGTCAAGTTTGTTGATGAGACAGTAAGCGTCAGCATCTGATAACCACATATGTAACCAATAGCTTCCTATCTATTCCTTCAGAGTGCCATGTGAACTATATAGGGAATAGCAACAAAAGGAGCTAGAGTTACCAGAAAAGGGATTATCTCCTTCTTCATCACTCCCAGCATCTTCTTCATCATCCTCTCCTTCAGACATAAGTAAATCCTCATATAAGACACTGGCTTGAGGCTGCTGTACAGTTCCTTCCTCTTCATCAGCAAGCTCCCCATCTCCATCTTCACCTTCCTGAATGAGACCAGTCAAAGGTCAGTGTTCCATCATTGACAAAGTCGGGGAATAAAAGCCACCACCAGCCACCCTTGCTGCCTCACAAACATTTTGTGGATAAACTTGTTTAGTTGGTTCCAAGTATTAAAGTCAAGTTGGGGGTTGACTAGAGATACCTTCTGATATCACCTTGTGATTTGGCCTGCCCCATACTATTGGGGCTCCTATCATGTAAGTATATAATGTAATCATAAGCTTTCTGTAAGCATACTCACTGGGGCTGGAGTCTTAGGTTTCCCATCCTCCTCCTCCTCCTCCTCCTCATACCCTTCAATATCTACATCAGAGTCTTCCTCGCCCAGCCTACCTCGGCCCTGGTGCATCTGAGTAAGGAACACAAATAGCATATCATTTAGGGACATGCCAGTAGGAGGAGTTAACCAAGGGTTCTCACTCAGGACTGATGCTCCTCCCTGATATCCTACCAATCCCACAGCTAGTGGGGGCTGTTTACACAGCTCAAGGCATGTACATTTTCTCCCACTAATTCTTTGGAAATAACAGGTAGGGTAAAAATCCAAAGAACAAAAAGGTCCTTGGTCTACTCTTACTGTATCATCAAAAGGAGACTCTTCCTTTTTTAACCCAAATTTTCCTTAGCCTATGTTGGACGCTTTGAGATAGATAACTGGACAGTCCCTCACAGAAGGGATGATAAATCTAGGGTGCAGTATGGTCTACTCTTACTGTATCATCAAAAGGAGACTCTTCCTTTTTTTTTTTTTAAATATCGTAGTTTATTTGGCCTTTTTAAAAAATAGAGTTATTGGCATATAATTCATGTATCATACAATTCAGTAGTTCAATCAAATCAAGGAGAGTTGTACAATCAGCTCCGCAATCAATTTTAGAACATTTTCTCTTGTCCTCCTCCCCCCCCGACTCTTCCTTTTTTAACCCAAATTTTCCTTAGCCTATGTTGGACTCTTTGAGATAGATAACTGGACAGTCCCTCACAGAAGGGCCACACAGAAGGGATGATAAATCTAGGGTACAGTATGGCACTGATGAACCACATAATTATCCTATAGTTCTTAATATTTCCTCCCCTCACTATTATGACTAAGTTTAAGCAGATTCATCTGTATATTTAAGATCATTTGGTGCACGAAAGCCAAAACAGATAACCCTTCAGAAATAGCAACAGGAAAAATGGTTCCCAGAGGTTATGGTAAGAAAGGTGGTAGAGTGGGAAGCTGATAGCATTGATGACAGTATAACCCCACTCAATGGGATTGAACAAGAAAATTGTATGTGAATGGATAGATAGGATTGTGTAATATATGGCAAAAAAAAAAAGAGGGTTCCTGGGTGGTTTGGTTGGGGAGGGCAAAGGGGACCTGATATAAAGGAGTTCAAGATGAAAGAAAATGTTTTGAACCTGATTGTGGTAGCAACTGCATAACACTGCTTGATGTGATTGAATGGTGGAATGTTATGCTATCAGTTAAGAGCTACCCAATAAAACAATTTAAAAAAGAAGAAGAAACGAAAGTCTCCTGAGTTTTATACTCTTCAGTGAAACCCTGACTGAAAACAGCTGGTAAGATTTTTGGTTTCAGATAGGGAATTTCTTTTGATACCTGTAGAACAGGTCACTTATATCTTATTTAACAAATAACTTAACTTCTGTTATAACATACATACAGTAAAAGCAGCAGGGTGATTATTTTGAACTTTGTCTCTGAATGCAGTTGGTTTTTCTAGTTACTTGTCAGGTTGCCCTGATGCTTTATACTTTTTACACTAACTTTCCTGAAGTTCTACTGTGCTTAACTCTGCCCATGGCGACAGATCGAAGACAATGCCAGTCATGTGACCCGCCACCAATCCCACCTTGAAATTACCTAAGCCTTCACTCCCAGGACTAAGGAGCCCAGTCATGCTTGATATGTGCCATATAACAACATCACCATTGCCTCCACCCTCCACCTTCCAAGAATACTATCAATCTCACGAAGAGAAAAAGAACATCCTACCTGTGTTATTTGCTTTTCTGGTGTGGTAGTAGGGATATCTAGGACAGACATATTGCTTTCATCTTGAAATACAGAAGCATCTCGAGACATACTGAGGGTTGTGTTGGTATCATACAAATCAGGAGGCTGTGGCACAAAATGCACAACTTAGCTTTTGTTTAGGAAAGAGAGTAAGAAATACAAAAAACTCCCTATAGAGCATTCAATGCAGAAAAAAGTCATGCAGAACAATCCAGTTAAAGAGACAATATAGTTTCAGACAGGTACTTGAGATGCTTATAAATTCTGGTCAATAACCTAACATGTCTTAATGTTTCTCAGGCCCACAGTTTTATGACTAGTGTTATGTTCTGGTTTTAGAGACATCTAAGAGGAAATGAGTAGAGCCCTAGTGGCATACTGGATTATGAGCTAATTATAACGTCAGCCATTTGAACCCACCAGATGCTCGGCAGGAGAAAAATGAGGGTTTTTTGCTGTCATAAGTTAGTCATAGAAATCCAAAAGGGCCAATATACCCTTATCCTATAGGCTTACTAAGTGTCAGAATCAAATCGATGGCAACGAGTTTGATTTCAAAGAGAATATGAAGAAAAAGGACATTCATTCTGATAAGACCTTAGAATGCATTCAATAGCTAGGAGCTTGTTTTCAAATCCTATAAGGTAAAATGGTATGATGTAAACTGGCAAAAGGGCTTTGGAGTAAACTGTCCTGGGTCCGAGTCCTGGCTCCACCACTTACATGGACGATAACATAATGTCTACCTTATCATAAGATTGTTGCAAGAATTAAGAAGTGTAAGTAAATTCCTTACCTAACACCTGTTAATCAATAAATAATTTGCTTCTTCTGAAAAAAAGGTAGCTCTTTTCACAAATCATTAAACGACAGTAGGAGAGGAAGGAGTAATAAAGAGGCAGCTAGGAATGATACCTAAAAATCTTGGCGAAGGGTCGAAATATTATGTAGCTATTTTTAAAACCATGCTTTTAAAAGATTCTTTAGTGAAATGATCAACTATTCATGTAATGTAGAGGAAAAAAAACACAACCATCTCGATTAATTTCATTTAAAAAGTGTGTCTACACAGGTATACTCACATATACACAGATTAGAAGCACACCAAAGTGTTCACAGTGGTTGGTTCTTTCTGGGTTTTGGAATTATTTTCTTTTCTATAGTTTCCATTTATTTTACAATGAGTATGTCACTTTTATCAAGAGAAAACCCATATAGATTACTTTATTGATAAAGCAAACAAATAAGCAGACAAGACTGAGAAGAGGGTTTTGGCTAAAGAGTAGACAATCAGAATTCAAAGCATTACAGAGGAGATACAACAGTTATGGAAGAGAAGGGATATTCAGGGAATGAAATTCTAAAAAATCTTAATTGTCATATGAAATATAAGGAATGGCTGCATGAGAAATGCAAAGCAAGCAGTTTCAGATAAAGAGTTAAGTTGATTGTATAATGCAAATGTAAGCTATAAATACATGAATGAAATACGACTACCATGATTCAGAATTTGGAAATTATTATTATTGAAATGTATGACCCATTAAACTTAGGCACATCCTCTGTAATAACATTTGGGTTTGAGAATAATGAGTAACAAGCATCACTCATGGGCATCTACCTCAAATTTAGAGGATTATGAGGTTAGGTATGTATGAGTGAAAAGAATGACAAAATGTTGAAATAGAATTTAACAAAGCAGAAAATTTTACTACTCTTAGGAGACTTTTTAACTACACCAAAAAAAAAAAGACATTGCTCAGGAGAGAACAGTTGCTAGGTTTTTACTTCAAGTAAGGTATGAAGGGAAGGAAAGAAAGGAAGATAACCTCTGAGCCTGAAGCTTTGATTTAACAAATACTAAGCTTAGGTTTCCTAGATTAGAGCACACCATCTAACACTTAGTAGCTACACTCTTCTAGGGAATGATGGCTAATACCCAGGCTTTCACTTAATAGAAAGGGCCTTGTGAAAACTGTGGGCCTTTTAGACAACAGTCTCCCAACCCCCCTTGACCCAATCTGCCCACACACTCCAAGAGCCTTTCCTTGTTCGAGGCCTAGAAGAAGTATCTGAGAGTTCTTTGTCCCTGGTCCCTCAATAACCTAGGTTTGGGGGTAAAAGAAAATAAGAGAGAGATAGATACGTAGAGATCACAGTGGCTGCATTATCAGTTCAGAATGAAACCTGGACAGAATGAAAAAAAAAATCTGGTGGATAATGGGAAATTTAGCAATAAAATATTTGGCTAAATTTGAAAAGGCCTCTGGAAACTTTATAGACAATTTTCATACAATGAAGGAAGAAAACATTTTCTGAATGTCTATATACCAGGCATAAGCCTATTTATGTTTATAAAAATCTTCAAGTGAATTTAAGTGAAGAAGAAGCTGAATTAGTGGGTAATTTAACTTTCCAAGATTACAAAGCTAATAATAGCAGAGGAATTACTGAAGCCCAGACCTGCTTTATGCAAAAGATCATGCATTTTTCACTCCAGCATACTGCCTCCAATAAAGAAACCAAACACCAGTCATATTCTGCTAATTTCTCTTCTTCAAATATTCCAGCCTTCTAAGAGTATACATAAAATACAAATTACTGGTTCAGGCAGACCAGAAAGACAAATATATATGTGTGTGTGTGTGTGTGTGTGTGTGTGTGTGTATATATATATATATATATACACACACACACACACACACATATATACACACATACATATATATGTATATATATATATATACATATATTCATCTGCTGCCTAGTCTTTAACAAATTTTCATGTAAATGAGAACATTATAATTACCTGTTATCATTCACTAGGAGAGAGTCAATCCAGGAAAATAGTGAATATCTAAGCTGCCCTGAGATACCTTTGAGGGAATAATCAGGAACTATAGGACACAGGAATAATGTGGCCCATGGTTCTGAGAAGTGTACACTCTAGGGGATGTTCTTACAACTCCAATTCATAAACAAGACAGCTCCAGAGACTCAAAGGATGCCTCTGGACACAAAAGCCACTAATGTGGTACTCTCAAATCTTGAGTAAACAACTAAAATTCCCACCCCACACATTCACCCACAGCTGTCTCTTCTGAATTCAACAACGCTACCAAGACCCATGGTCCTCACTCACCTTAGCCTTTGAGAAGACAAGAAAGCACACGAAAGGCACATGGAGCGGAAGGACAGAGAAGAATGGTATCTCAGTAAGTAGATCTGCTAACATGCTCCCAATTCCCCAAACCAACAAGAACAAGAGAAGAGAACGTTTCTAGTCCTTTGACTCACCTGAGGTGTATAAGGCCCTGGGGTCATTGGGTCCAAGCTTTCTAAATCTGCTTCCTCCAAAGCTGCTTCCTTAGCTGTACAAATATCCTTCTCAAGTTGAGTCAAATGTTCATCATACTGAAAGAAGAAAACATATTAATTATGAACATAATTTAAAATTAATTACAAACTTATTAATAAAATATATTAAACAAATGGTTTAGACACTGGGGATACAAAAGTAAACAAAACAAAAATCCGTGTCTTCCCTTGTGGAGTTTCATCAAGTGCAATGTAGCAGAGAAGAATTTATTGAGAGCTGAATGAAGGTCAAACACGATAGCGGGACAGGAGGAAAGTAAAAAGAAATATAGAGTAGTGGTTCTCAACCTGTGGATCGCCACCTCTTTGGGGGTAAAACGACCCTTTCACATGGGTCACCTAAGACCATGGGAAAACACGTATTTCCGATGCTTTTAGGAACTGAGACATCACTCCTGTTATCTGTCTCCAGCAGGGCTGCCCACATGCAGATACGCCCACATATGAGTACCTGGACTGATGACATCATTGCGCCAACCCCATCACATACACCCCATAATGTACTTATGTGGACCAGTCACACGTGTGCGACTGTAGAAAGCACCTGCTGTGTTGAAAGAATCAGTACTGGAAGTAAAACAACACTTCATGAATCATAATTACTGGGTAAATGTAAAATCATGTACTGTAAAATCATCAACTACTGCAAACAACAACAACAACAACAACAACAACCTGTATCATGTATATTCAGCTGTGGTTGATGTAAATACTGCCCCCATGTGATAGCAACAGGTATGTAAAAAAACCCAACAATGGTAAATCATAGGAAACTTTAAGGAACTATACTGACTGAACTATGCCATGTACATCTTTTGTATTATTAAAACTACTGTTATATATTATTTTCATTAGCAAACCATTACCATGACAATGGATCATGTAGAGAAGAATGTTAAGAAAACATACTGAGGGTTTTCTACAGTATAGTTTTACCTCAATTACAGCAGGAATTGAGAAACAGCAATGTGTTATTTGTTGTGAAGTTCTACCAGCCAAATCTATGAAGTCGAACAAATGAAAATGCCATTTTGATGGCAAGCATCCAAGCTTTGCCAACAAGGTTACCAACTATTTTAGAAGCAAAGCTGATGGACTCAAGAAAGCCAGACCTGACAATGGTGACAAGTACCACAAACAAAGCATAGCAGTTGTTGAAGCTTCCTATTGGTGGCACTCAGAATTGCCAGAGCTATGAAACCTCACACCATTGCTGAGGATTTACTGTTGTCAGCAGCCAAAGACATTGTTCGAGTTATAATCGGAGACGAATTTGTTAGGAAATTGAGTGCAATTTCTTTATTCTAACGACATTGTCTGCAGAAGAATAGATGACATGTCTTGATATTCTTGATCAGGTAATCCAGGAAATTAAATCTGCTCCATTTCCAATATTTAGCATCCAACTTGATGAATCTACAGACGTTGCACACTGTTCATGGTTACTAGTTTACGTGAGGTATATTAATGATGGCGACTTTAAAGATGAGTTTCTTTGTTGCAAACCTCTTGAAACAACTACTGCACGTGATGTATTTGACACAGTTGGTTCATTTCTGAAAGAGCTTAAGATCTCTTGGGAAAAGGTTTGTGGTGTTTGCACAGGTGGTGCTCCAGCTATGCTAGGATGCTGATCTGAATTTCAACGTTTGGTACTGAGTCACCTAAAGTCATGGGAACTCACTGTATGATTCATCAGCAAATACTAGCAACAAAGACACTGCCACAAGAGTTACAAGAAGTAATGAAAAGCGTCAAAAGTTCTGTCAATTTTGTAAAGGCAAGCACTTTAAACAGTCGACTGTTTTCGCAACTGTGCAACAAGTTGGATGCGAAGAACAAGGGTCTGCTATTTTCACACGGAAGTGAGATGGTTGTCAAGAGAAAAAGTTTTAAAACGTGCTTTTGAGCTTTGTGATGAAATCAAAACGTTTTAAAATCAGAAAGCAAGGACGTAGTTCGAAGCACTTTTCAGCGATAAACGCGAACTACAGAAAGTAATTTCTTTGGTTGCCTTCTTGAATGAGTTACATTTATCACTGCAAGGACCAAATGTAACATGCCTCGATTTGTCTGAAAAGATCTGATCATTCCAAATGAAATTTCAGCTTTGGTAAAAAAAAAAATTGGATGAAAATAAAATTTATATGTTGCCTAACTTATTTGCTTTCTTTGAGGATGACATTGAACCAGACAAAAGGATGATGATGAAAATGTCTGTGAAAGAACATTGCACATGCTGCAGAGGAAATTTCATTGTACTTTCCAAGTGTACCTGACACCCCATTTGCACTTGCCAGAAGGCAAATCAAAGTTGAGATGTTCTTGAGAGAGCACAAAAAGAGTTCATTGAACTTATTAACCACGATGCAGCGAGAACTGATTTTTCTACAATGTCAGTTACAAAATTCTGGATCAAGTGTTTGTAATCATATGACGTTCTGTCTGAAACTGTGTTGCACCTTCTTCTTCTTCCATTTCCAACAACATATCTTTGTGAAACAGGGTTTTCCAGCTTGTTGGTTATCAAGTCTAAATACAGAAGTAGACTTGTTGTAGAAGATGATCTTCGATTGTGTTCTTGAAAAGACTGTCCTGAGAATTTCTGATCTGGTGAGAAAGCTGTCTCAACCTTCACACTGACATTGGCTTTTTATGCATACTATCTCAAAATGTTGCAATGTAGTTTATTGTTGTTATATTAAGACCCATGCTACACCATGCTTCAAGACAAAATTCCCATTTGTAATTAGAAATAAATATTTCACAATATATAATTACATAGTTTCTGTGATTAATCACTATGCTTTAATTACCATATACACTTGAGTATAATTCGACAAGAATATCAGCATTAAAAATGTATTGAAAATATTAATTTATAAATTATCAAGGGCTCATAAGGGAGGGGAAAAATGAGGACTGATGCCAGGGGCTTAAGTGGAGAGCAAATGTTTTGAGAATGATGAGGGCAATGAAAGTACAAATGTGCTTTACACAAATGATGTATATGGATTGTGATTAAGAGTTGTATGAACCCCTAATAACACGATTAAAAAAATGTATTGAAAAACTCAGTTTATACATGCGTACATACGTTATGTTCAATTTATAACAATGAAAATACATCCTGCCTATCAGATATTTACATTACAATTCATAACAGTAGCAAAATGACAGTTATGAAGTAGCAATGGAAATAATTTTACAGTTCTGGGTCACCATAACATGAGGAACTATTTTAAAGGGTTGCAGCCTTAGGAAGGTTGAGAACCACTGTTCTAGGGTCTTTTGCCCATACTCAAGTTCCAGCCCATCTTGTTCATATGAGCTCTATTTTCTGTGGTGAAGAAAGCTGATGGTGCACAGCTATTACAAGATATAGTATCTGAAGATAAACAAATGGCCATCTAGCAGGGAAGCAACAAAGTCCACATGGAAGAAGCACACCAGCCTGTGTGATTATGAGGTGCTGACAGGATTGGGTAACAGGCACCTGAAGACCCAAAACAATCATATAAATGTGAATGAGGCAGACTGGAGTGGAGACCCAAAGCCCATTTATCTATGGACAATTGGACATCCCCTCACAGAAAGGTGACAAGGAAGGAATGAGCCAGCCAGGGTGCAGTATAGCAGCGATGAAATATACAACATTCCTCTAGTCTTTAAAGCTTCCTCCTAGCACCCGCCCCCCC